TTTTCTTTTTCCTTTTCCTTTTTTCGGTTTTCCTTCTTCCTCCGTTTTTCCTTGCATTCTATCCGTCTCTTCTCTCTCCGAAAGCTCAGCATGCATGAGGGTGTCCCTCCCTTAATAATCATTGCTTCAGTCATGTGCAAACCACGTTTTTCTTCCATTGCTTCCCGTAGCATGAGAGTCCAACCGTTGATTGATGCTTCTATCTGCATAAGTATGAAGAGAAATCTCTTTTCTCTTGGGTGTATCTTTCGAAAGCCTGGTCTCATCAGTGGTATGCTTGAGGGGCACTGAGGGAGGGAAGGCGTCTAATGATGATTGCTTCGTTTATGCACTAATCGTTTTACCTTTTTCTTCCATTACTGCACGTCGCATGTAATATAGAAAATCGAGTCTTCGATTGATGCTTCTATTTGCAAATCTATGGATGAAGAGAGATCTTGGATGTGTGACTGATGTTTCTGATACGCTCCCATATGCCAGATTTTTCTTCGCTCGTGTGTCCTTGCCCCGATCCTTTCTAAGCGTTACGTGAAGAAGGGTTGTCGAATCAGCATGTGCCCTCTTAGGAGGACGTCCGTTACCCGCATGCAGGTTCAATTCCCGCATATTTTGAGAAGCTATGCACTTATATACCACCCAATATGCGCTATCGAGCCGCGTGCACTTCCTTACCCAACAGTACTCATTCTTATTGCTATTGTGCTATACTCACACAGGATCATTTCCCTTATATCGTGAAAGCCAGGTATTTACATAGCACCCAGTATAGCTATCGAGGATGCGTACAGACTCCCACGAAGACCTCCACTGTTGGCTGTTAATTACTTGCCCACGCATCTAGGAGATTACATGAGCTATCGGAACTGCGTGTGCTACTTTGATAAAGACACGAAGCCCCGATTTTCGCATTTCCTAGGATGCTACGCGATAACAACGATAAGTATCGAGACTACAAAGTACTCCAGTAACTGGCTGAGCATTCTGCACATCCTCTGTGTCTGTCAGGATTGTTTTTTGTCGACCATGGGCTGGTTGTAAGAACCGGTCGGGACGTACATCTCGCCCTATCAAGGATTAACACCCAGATGGAAGGATGGGTGCGCGATCTGTCCACCAGATTTGTTAACCCACCTGCGCATGAGATTCGTAGCCACTGTCTGTGCCCTGTCCCCACCTTGGTGCTCTCGCCGGTAGAGTTGAGATACAGTGAAAAAGTTTTCAAAAGCAGTAAGAGCCTAGGCTCGTTAACTAGTTCCAATATCGCCACATGGAAAGCACCTCCTGCTAGGTGTCTCTCGGTATGCAGGCTTCCCTGCCCAAGCCCTGCCTGGCACAATGGGCATGCCATGGCGTGCATGCATGCACACAACCCTTCACACACACACACACACACACACACACACACACACACACACACACACAC